TGGGTAAGCGGCTGACTCTTCTTGATTTTGGCTCAGGTTGTGATCTTAGAGTCATGAGATCGAGCCCCATGTCATCGGGCTCTGTGCTCAGTGGGGAGTCTGCTTGGGATTCTCTCCCTCTCTCCCCCTCTGCCCGTGCCCCTTCCCCTCTCCGCACTCACATACTCTCTCTTGCTCTCTAAATGACTCTAGAAAAACCAAAAGGGTGAAATTTGTGATATGTGAATTATAGGTCAATAAAGCTATTATAAAAATAAGCAAAAATCGAGCAACAAAACCCAAGTCTGGCTTTGTTTCACACAGCTTCAGGGAAGAAGTTGCTCCAACATCGTTCCACTACACTGAAACTGAACATTCCTGGCAGAACGGCCCCAAAGCCCGCAAGGCAGCAAGACCATCTTGGGGGCCTCAGGAGGCAAAGGCGACCTGTGGCTGAAAGCAATCCCTCCATCTTTGCCTTTAGGTTGGACACAGAGGGTGCTGGGACGGTTGAACAGAGCTGCAAGCCTTATAAAACACTGAACAATTACTCTTATGAGAAGAGGTTAGGTGGGGGGTTGCCTCAGGGACCATACACCAGAGAAACGGAGAGAAGCACAGAGCTGACCTCCAGAGGACCAGGGCTGACTCAGGCCTTCAGAGGCCTCTCTCTCCTCCCCTGCACTAGCCATTCCTGTGCATCTTTGAGTCATCCCGACAAGGGGGCACTGGAAACAGTGGATGGATGAGCAGGGACGAGCCCTCAGAGCTTCTAAGTCGTGTCTGCACCCCCTAAAGCAAATCCAACAACTAAATGTCTTTTACAGTTTTAAAGCATCTGAGAGCATTCTTAATTTCTTGGAGAGAAGAAACGGATCTGAATGCCTTCGAAAGGCTCCAATCACACACACTGCAAGGACAGCGTGGTGCAAATTTCTAGCGAGGTACCGCAGCTCTGCAGTACTCACCAAGGAAATAGTTCATCATCTGTGGTGTGTGGTGAGGGGTGGGGGCGATCCGCAGAAGCTCCTCCCCCCGGGGCACCGTGGGGTAGTTGATGGCTTGGACGTAGATGTTATGCCTGCTCATTAGTTCATCACAGACTTCGGTGTTTTTAGCAGCATCTGCAACCTGAGTTTGTAACAGAAGGTAAGGTCACCGCAGGACAGACCACCCCTTAGCAGTGATTCTAATGAACACGGCACTCAGGAGGGAGGCTCAGGCTCGAGCAGCCACGCAAGCTGCCACTTAAAGGGCCCAGGAGTGCTTAGTACGGACCAGAGAACTGAAAGCACATTAGAAGGTCACACACTGATCTCCCTCCCAGGCTTCAACTCCAGGTGCCGCCAGCTGATCCTCCTACCCAGGGATGTGTGTAACCGTGGGAATGAAGCAGCTTTGATTATACTAGCTATATTAATTCTACTAATTCAACTGTGACACCAACAGGGCTGCCATTTATAGTGGAAAGGGCAAGACCTATTTCGATATTAACTGAATAAAAAGCTAGACTTCAAAGCTAGCCATGTGGAGGCTTCCGGAACTTTTTACACATAAGCTCTTTTAAGGCTAGTGCTCTGGAGAAGGAACCTCTGCTCTAGCCTGCTGGGTTCAAAGGCTTCATTCTCACTGTGAAGTCAGCCCAAGGCAGGGACAGTGCAGAGAGCCACTGACTACAGCCCCCTGCCCCAGCAGTCACCCTGTCCCAGCCCAACTTCAGGAAGGCGTGAACCAGAACATCCCAGGTCACGTGCGGAGGCACAGCCCCCAGCAAGTCCAGTCCCGGACAGGTCATTACCCGGACAGGGATGATGTGACTGGGGCAGTGGACGACCGGGAGGCCTGCGTCCATGAGCATCTGCCTCATGAGCTTGACGTTGCGCTGGTGCTGACGGCGAAGCGCCCGCCCCTCGGCGCTCTTCAGAATCCGCACAGACTCCAGGGCTCCGGCCAGCAGCATGGGCGGCAGGGAGGTGGTGAAGATGAAGCCGGCCGCATAGGACCGCACAGTGTCGATCAGAGAACTCGTGCTGGCGATGTACCCTCCGACACAGCCAAAGGCTTTGCCTGCGAGGAGAAAGCTTCATTTATTCCGTAACGGCCCCTGTATGTGCCCAGCAGAGTGCCACAGAGCCTCGGAGCCCTTTTGTCTTTATCCTCTCTATGTGCCCTAAGACTCAAGTCAAGGGATGTCCACCCATTTCTGAAAGGGAGAAAGTGGAGGTTAGGGTCCTCCCCTAAATCACAGGACCAAGCTGGTGTCTGACGAGGACCAAAGAACAGGTCTCCACACCAGTCCTGACGCTGAGGGACCTGTCCCCGTGTGCCCCAACAGCGAGCGGCAGCCTCTCGTCCCCCCTGCCTTTCCCACCCGGACTCGCTGCTCCGCCAGCAGGTAAGGTGCCACCTCCCATGGCGGGCCTGGTGCGTGCGTCCTCTCACCACGAGCATCCCCCTGGGGCCAGAAGGTAACCCAGCTAAGACATGAGCTGTTTTGGCGTGACCAGTATTATTTCCTTCCAAAGTAAACACAGAACTCTGACGAGCAGCATTGCCCAGAGAAACATGAAAACTCAGAACCTATTAGGGCTGATTTAGGGCCAACCTCCTTTCTCAATTCTCCTTAAATCCCTTTGTATAATCTGTAGCTCAAGTTTCAGGGTTAAGGACTGCAGAAGGGTCCTTCTAGATGTCAACACTGTGTTCTGTAACGAACACCCCTGCTTGAACCCCATGTGGGGCTGGGCTGGCATGAGCTCTTACAGCGGCCAGTCCCTCTCTGCAGCCCGCCCCAGTGTGCAGCGACTACACCTTTCCCGCTGAAAGAAAAGCGTTGCTGGAAGGAAGACACGTGAACGAGTGCTTTCCTCCTGACAAGGCTCTGCCCTGCAACCCCTGCGCTCTCCTGGTCTCCCCAAGGTCCTCAGCCCCGACAGTGCCGAAGGGCACTCTTTTTGGCCTGCCCTTCCTTTACCAAGTGCAGGCTGTGAACTGGCATTTTAGCTAAGTGCTACCTGGGTCTCCAACTGCCTTACTAACTTTGAAATCCTCACATTTGTTTAATTCATGTTTTCATCTCTCTGGAGTCCTCACAGGCAAAGAGAATGTCTACGGTAACTGTCTGCACACAATTCATTTATCTTCTCCACAAAAACTGAGGTAGGGTCTGTTATCTCCATCACATAAGCGTTCCTACTTTCCGAAAGTTGTTATGCCCCCTCACTTTTACAAGAGACCTACATTACACTTGTTTTCGCTAACCGGAAGAAATCTGAAGAGGACTTTCACTTTTACGATGAAAGGTGAAAAGCGAAAATAGCCTTTGGTGTGTGGCAGCGAGCCATGAGAGAGGCAGCGTGCACCCCAAGCAGCCAGAGTGGCCCCACTGAGCCCCGGCTCCGGGAACCACTCGGCACCCCAGCAGCAGGCGCCACAGCTTTGACCTCGGTCTGTGAGCACCTGTGTCTCTGCTTTACGCCATTTTGGCTGACGAGAGGTTTCAAAGGAACACTCCGCTTCTGGGTTGTGGGGAAACCTATATTGGTGAGGAAGCGGAGGGGCAGAGAGATGAACTACCAGCCCAAGGTCACAGAGGCGGGAGTCAGGCAGCCAGGATTCACAGCCAGCAGGCAGCATGGCGACAACGCCCAGCTCTGTGACACGATGCTTCTCACCCAGGAGCAGCAAATACAAAGTAGAGCTCAGTGCTTCACGCCACCTGAACCCACAGGTCCTCACGAATGCTCTAGGAGAACAGCACTCCATCTTTTTTTTTTTTTTTTTAATATAACAGAACAATCTGAAGTAGAGAGAGTAAAGGCTGTCACCATGGCGTGCAGCTAGAACCACAACTACACTTGCAATGAGCCCGAATGGCAACAAAGAGTATTTCTGTCAGGTGAGGCTGTGAGATTTCCTTTGGTTCTGGGAGCCATGCCTCTCTGATTGAAGGGATTCTGCTAAGCTGTACCACCACTGAGCAGATACAAACTCATCCAGAAAGTGGCCCAGGCTTTACAGGCCACCACCCTGTCTCCTCACCCGATCCCAGCTAGTCCTTGGCCTTGTTAGGAGAATAAAATTTTAGTGCAGATTGCAGAATGTGCAGGAGTATACGTACCAAGCGTTCCAGAAATGATGTCCATTTTAGGCATAACTCCATCCCGATCACCAATCCCTCCACCTTGAGCCCCGTACAGTCCCACTGCGTGGACCTCATCCACGAAGGTGATTGCTCCAAACTCATGCGCCACATCACACAGCTCTTCCAGTGGGCACACTGCTCCTGAAGAAAGAGCACAGACTCCTCTGAAGAGCTTGCTACTTCACAAATTTCTGTTTTGGTTAAGAGTCAGAACAAAATAACTTCTGTTCTAAAGGTATTATTTTAATATTGGGAAAAATAATGAACTTCCCCCAGTTTCTAGGTCATCTTGGGGTCTCAGAGCCTAGTAAGAGCCAGAATAGAAAATCTACATTCACCCAAACCTCCACAATGTCCACCAAATACAAAATCCTAGCAGAGTAAGAAGAAATTGCAGAAACAAAATAAACATCACACTTTTCAAAGAGTCCAGGCCTAGTTTTTCATCTAAGGTTTCAGACTGGCCTCTACTTAGACTTACCATCCATTGAGTGGACGGTTTCAAATGCGACAATCTTGGGGACCGAAGGGTCAGATCTTTGCAGCAGTTCTCTGAGGTGGCTGACGTCATTGTGGCGGAAGATGTACTTTGGCACGCGGCTGTTCCGAATCCCTTGGATCATGGAGGCATGGTTCCCAGAATCGGAGTAAATCTCACAGCCTAACATGATAAAAACAAAAACAAAACACTACTTATTGCCATCTGCACCAAAGACAAATTATTTCCTAGACAGGGACAACAGACTTTGCCCTGAAAGTGCTGCTTTGTCCAGTAGGAAAGACACTCCTGGCCAGTTTCTTCCTGGGAAAATCGCGAGCTAGTGCTTCTCCTTTGAGAAGGCCCATAGGTGTAGAATAACCCAATGGGAGACAACCAATCTGCTTTTGCATCCGGCCACCTCATTCCAAGCTCCATCAAAAGATAACTACGAATGATTAAGAGAATTCTCCGAAGGATTTGCCTCGAATACAAAGCACGTTTGAAGCAATTAGTTTAAGGACAAGCCCTTAATTAGTATCTTTTGCTACTGCATCTTCTCATGTGCAGTGAGCACTTCATGTTTCAATTCAAGAAAAAAATGCTCCCGGGGCGCCTGGGTGGCTCAGTCGTTAGGCGTCTGCCTTTGGCTCAGGTCATGATCCCAGGGTCCTGGGATCGAGTCCCGCATCGGGCTCCCTGCTCGGCGGGAAGCCTGCTTCTCCCTCTCCTACTGCCCCTGCTTGTGTTCCCTCTCTCGCCGTCTCTCTGTCAAAAAATAAATAAAATCTTTAAAAGCAAAACAAAACAAAAAAAGAAAGAAAAAATGCTCCCAGATACTTTCATTGCTCATAACTGTTTCTGGTAAGCCCTCTGTATTGTCACTATCCCTGCTATTCCTAAGAAACCCAAAAAACTCTAAGGCACCAGGACAGGCTTCCTTAACCTACCCGGCATCATCCTAGCCAGAGTGAAGAGGGTTGAGTCGTTGGCCACAAAGCACGAGGAAAACAAGAGTGCTGCATCCTTCCCATGTAAATCAGCCAGCTCCTGCTCCAGGTCCACATGGAATTTACTAGTTCCAGAAATATTTCTGGTACCACCAGCTCCAGCACCATGCTGTTTCAAAGTGTCCCTTTTATTAAAAAAAAAAAAAAAGAAGGCAGACAGAAAATAAATCTCATGGTTCCAGATACTCTGTGAATCATTCCTCTCCCCAGGAGCTGGGACACTGAATCTTATGTTCATCTAGCAAGTCTCTCACGGTGAAACCAGGGGCCAGAAGTTTCAACTGCCTTCATCTTTAGACTAGGTGGCAGGTGTCAACACTAGGGTGAGGGTATCCTGAAGACCTCTAGGGATCATCAAAAACAAGTGTTTGTCACTAGGTACTTAGTATTAGCTGAGTTAACTTACTAAGGCGTCTTTTCTCTGACAAACATCCTTCTCTCCAAACACAACCTCAGTCTCTACCAGTCACATAATGTTAGGAGAGATCTACTACTACACCTCAGACTGGACTCTCTTTAGCAAGCCTCCCTACAGGTTTTGGCAAGCAATTCTCTCAAGTGTCTCTAGCCATGGCCAGCCTCCTGAAGCACATGAATGAGGGGATCTACCACCCTTGTTAATGTCCTTCCTCCAGTGCTGCTACATTGGCATCTCTCCATCTGCCTGTGCAAAGTGGCCTACCACTGGGAGCGGTGGGAGGTGAACGGGCACGAGTGGTCAATGAGCCCATACACTTGAACCCTCGCGCACGAAGGGGCTCCACATCTGCTCATCAAGTCCAGTCCAAAAGTCACCTGTCGGTATTTTCTTTTTAAGATTTTATTTACTGGGGTGCCTGGGTGGCTCAGTCGTTAGGCGTCTGCCTTCGGCTTGGTCATGATCCTGGGGTCCTGGGATCGAGTCCCGCATCGGGCTCCCTGCTCGGCTGGAAGCCTGCTTCTCCCTCTCCCACTCCCCCTGCTTGCGGTCCCTCTATCGCTGTATCTATCTCCATCAAATGAATAAATAAAATCTTTGGGTGCCTGGGTGGCTCAGTTGGTTAAGCGTCTGCCTTCGGCTCAGGTCATGATCCTGGGGTCTTGGGATCGAGCCCCGCATCGGGCTCCCTGCTCCGTGGGGAGCCTGCTTCTCCCGCTCCCATTCCCCCTGCTGTGTTCCCTCTCTTGAGGTCTCTCTCTCTGTGTCAAATAAATAAATAAAATCTTAAAAAAAAATAGATTTTATTTACTTACTTGACACAGAGAGAGAGAGAGCGAGAGAGGGAACACAAACAGGGGGAGTGGGAGAGGGAGAAGCACGCTTCCCGCCGAGCAGAGAGCCCGATGTGGGGCTCGATCCCAGGACCCCGGGATCATGACCTGAGCCGAAGGCAGACGCTTAAGGACTGAGCCACCCAGGCACCCAATCTGTAGATATTTTTGAAGGCTAAGATAGTATTTGTTATGGCACACTTTCAGCGGCTGAATATTGCCCCCATAAAAGATCCAATCCCTCTAAATCATCAATGTCTTGCCAAATAAAGTCAGTGGTATCTGAAAGCTGAGGGCTACTTACATGACTGCCCCACACACTCGTGGGTGTCGACTCATTCCTAGGTAGTCATTGCTACACCAGACTGACACCTGCTTTTTGGTGATCAAAGAGTCGGAATAGTCATCTGCCATGGGGAAGATGTGAGCCCTCCGGTTCACAGTTTTAAAAACTCGATAGGTATGGTCATTTTTTTTCTCATCAATTTTCTTCTCAAAGAAACGATCATACTGAAAAGTGCAAACAGCTAAAAACCAAACAAAAAACAGGACAAACTGATGGTTAGGAAGGCATGTCTGGGTTTTGGCAAGAGACCTGGGTTCCAACCCCAGCTTGGTCATCCAACAGCAGGGTGATTCTGGACAAATTAATGAAGTACTCATGTGAGCCAGTTATAGGACATCCTCATTTTGAGACCGTGAAGGTCTCAAATGAGACTGTGTATGTCAATTGTTTAGCACAGGGCCAGGGCATAAAAGGTAGGTATTAAGGGAGAGAAGGCAGGTTACCAACAGGGTTTGTATTTATTATGGCCGAGAACACCTACCTGCATCAAGCAAGAGACATGGCTTTTAATCCTCAACTCACCAAGCAATTTTGTGTTTAATCTAATATACGTTTAAGTTAAAAACCCTCTCATGCATCAGGCAAGTAACAATGAGACCTACATTTTGGCAAGTTATCTTGAAGAAGATGGGACACTCTTTCTGGTCTTTGCTTTCGCATGATATCCTGGAAGTTCTTCAGCAATCCACTTGTCTCCCCTTCATTGGCCTTCACACTAATCACACTGGGGTTCACTGAGGTTTGGGCAACCTCTGTAACAAAAGTAACAAGAAAAGAGGACAAACATTCTATTCTGAGTTCACAATACTTTCCAGAAATATTGTCAAAAATGAATTACTGCCTAGTTCACCAAAAAAAGCTGATCATAACCAAAGTTAGTAGTAACCGAGTGTATGAGGCTTTTCTTCTCCCCTTCTATTTTAATGGCCAATGCCCGGTGTTGTTTTGTTTTCAGAGCTACCAGACAGCTTTTTTTTTTTTTTTTTT